TGAAGAATGGAAGTTAAGTTCTGCTTCTCTTCTGCCCTGACTTGCTGAATAGCCCTGAAAGAGCTGTTTGTTTGCCTCTGCAGGTCAGGTCATAATCAAGCTTGAAAAGCTCTTCATTATCTCAGAAGGAGCTATCAAAACTCCTGTGTTTTGCTATGGAGCAAGACAGCAGACTAGCTGGACTTTGGTCTGATTTAGGTCGTTGTTCTAATGGGCAAATGTCCCTGTAGCAACAGGATAGTCCCAGTACAAGAGTTTCTTCCTCTCTGTGTCTGTTGTACTCCAGGTACTGTGGAGACCAAACAGCAGGCAATACACTTCACTAGCACATGGCAGAAAACCTTCTCCTAGCCTGAAAGGCAGATTTCCAGGGAGACTAAGGGGTCTGAAACCCGCACACCCTACAGGCACCAACTAGGATAGACAGGAATTTCTGGTCCCACAGCAGAGAGGCCATTCACTGTATTTTGATTAGTGGTACAAAGATAGGTCTTATCACAAGCACCATTTAAACCTGGCTTCAAAGAGGACAGAGGAAGAAGATAACTCCTAGGTCTGCAATAGGATCTTACCAACGTGCAGAAGGCTGTCCTGCGAGGAGGGGGACTGGTGTGTACTCCATGAAACCTGACAGCGAGGGGAAAGGCAGGTGAATGTCAAAAAAATCCCAGCCTCATAACTAGACAAAAATCTTCCATACTCTTCCACATCAGCAACCTGCCTTATTACCCAGCTTCTTCCAAAAACACAGTTTCTTGATTTCCCCCATTCCCTCCGCTCACACCACGGAAAAGTGGTTTGGTCTTTTTTTACCCCATAGTTTTCCATCTTTGTTGTCTAGTCAGGAGTTTTCATAACATCAATGCCACCTTCCCATCGAGCATGCCTCATTCCCCGTCCCTGCCTTAGAACAGCCCTTCCCAAGACAGCCATCTGGCACAGACTTTCTTACCCAGATCTAGGATGTGCATGTCACTGAGGTACAGAGAAGCCCTCCGACCCCCAAAAATCAGCAGCTTGTTCTTCAGTAAAGTAGCTGAATGCCTGGGCAGAGAAGCAGCAAGTGAACAAAGCATCTTCAGCAGTACCCAAAGCTAATGTTTCAGCCTTGGCTTCTGCTATTGGGCTGTCTGCCATAGCTTCAGTCTATACCTGCAGTCTACCCCAGCCCCTACAGCCCAAGGACAGAATCCCATCAGGATTAATGGCAGGAGGTACTGAGTGTCACATTGCTCAAAACGTAGCCCTATCTTAACAAGAAAACAGTGGAGAACAATCACTTAATATTCAGGAAATTACACTGGGGTGGGAGGGAAGGTGAGCAGAGGTTTCCTGCTCTGTTCTGGAAGGCTGGAATAAAAGCACTCTCACCCAAGCCTAGGCAGAGGCTTCTCCCCTTCCGAGATGGGCTGATACCAAATTTCATGCTCTGGATTGAAGATATAGAGCACATTGCTGCAGGATCCAACTGCCACTGATGCCTTTTGGGGGGAAGTCCCTCCAAAAACAAAGAGCTCCTTGCAGTAGATAGTTGCGCTGTGGTAGGTGAGCACTGGCATCCTCCCTTTAGCCTGGAGAAAGTTCAACATACATTTGTTACAAGAAGTGCACTATTTGCTGCATGACCCATAGGAAAGGGGTCATGCAGTGAGTTCAGCAAGTCTCAGTTTTCACTTTACTGAAATCTTTGGCCAGATCTTTGCCACACTGGCAGAGAGTACATCCTTTGGGTACTCTGCACCACCAGAATGCTCTGATGAGAGAAGGAAGACAACCTCCTAGCCCAGCTTCCTCAGAAGACAACAGAGAACTGAACTGATGGCTTATTCTGTAAAAGCCATCTTGTGACTTAGCCAGGAAAGAGACACAGTCCCTTGCTAATGGGGCTCCCTGCAAGGACATGACAGGCAACTACAGAGCTCCGAGCAGTCTCTGTGTTTAGAGCAGTCCCTGATTTGAGAAGATCAGCTCTTCACCTCAGCATCCAGTGCAGCTCTCAACACCACCATATAAAATGAGAGGCCATTTTCCTCTGCCACTTGTACAGTACCTCCCTCCCATGACGTTGGTCAGACACAGCACTCTGCAGCAGCCATTTTTTTGCCTTGCTTCATTCATTGTAGGCACAGCCCCTGGTTTCTGCCAAGCTTGTGGCCTTTTAACATAGCCTTTTTATATCTGTCAATCCCCACTAAGCACTTCAGACAACTTGCAGCAACAATGGACCAAGACTACTGGAATAAGGATACAGGCATACCGATTGCCACATTCAGACGGGGCCTGCCACCCCACCTGTGCTTGTGTCTTGGAAAAACTGCAGTACTTACAGCCACTAGAAGCCATTTCCAAGTGATTGTGTCTAGAATGTAGATGCTGCTGTTGGTTTTGTCCTCCCTTATGCCCCCAAAGATGTAGATACGTTTGGTGTCTGGGTCGTAGGTAGCTGTGTGACCATGCAAGCACAATGGCACGGCATTCTGTAGCTGGAAACCCACCGGAAGCCAGAAATCACTGTCTGTGGAAGCAACACCAGACAGATAGTGTGGGAGTTCAAAGATGCTCTCAATTTCTCCAGATTTAAATTATATGTCATAAAATCTTTACTCAAGATCTTGCTTCCTTTGTCTCCTCCTCCTCTTCGATTCAGGGTTAGAGGGGACTCATACAGAAATGTTTCTGTGTAAGTAATGAAGGGGAACACTAACTAGGTGGGGAACAGTAAGGTGGAAGAGAGGATCAGTGGGATGCAGAAAGGTGCAACGTACTGGAACTGTATCTCATGCTTTTCCACTGGTCATCACACACAGACTACATACCCTTTGAAGCTCACCCAGATCTTTCCAGAATTTATACCTTAGCTCCTGGAGCATTCTCACATACAACCCCACAGCCTTTCATGGCAGGCTATGTCGTCAGCTCAGCCTGGTGACCATGCTAGATGTGACACCTTTGCACAGACCCTTCAGTACCCCCTCCCACCTACATGAGTTGTCCTCAGGTCCCACTGCTCCCATTGCTTTTGATAGCCCTGAAGTTCCCACCAATTTCCAGCTTCCAGAATGCATCCTTGCAGGGCTGCTGATCAGCACCTTCTCCACCAATCAGAACAGCTGTTCCCAGGTCACTGAGGCACATGGCATGGCACCACCGTGGGCTGGGACTGCCTGGAGACAGGAGAGCACAGAGCCAAAATCAGTCAGGTGAGACACCCCCAGCTCCCTTTCCTGCTGGGAAGAACAAGGCAGCTGGAGGCTTAGAGGGGAGAAATGGGAAGGCAAAGGCCTCAGGTCACTTCCTTCTGTCGTGGCAAGAGCCACAGCTCCCTGAGGAAGATTTCCTATTGGCTTTGGGGAAGAATTGCTGTACTAGGAGAGATGTCGCTGGCAGAGGGAGCCCACAGAGAGTCTGGCTGTATGTGGGACATATATAGACTGCCACTTCAGACAGGCTTGGATGCCCCGAATTTATTACCCATCCCCATAAGGAATATCCCAGTTGTGCTATTCCCTGTGTTACATCTTGTGAGGGAGGGCTACCCACATACAGCTTATTAGTGCCTAAGATACAGCAACCAGAAGCCTGGAACTGCTTCCAAAGATATTCCTCGTACTGCTCTGTTCCTCTTCCTTTCCTCTCCCAGGACCCTACGGTTGGTCGAGCAACACAAAAAATACTTTTTAATCAAAGTCTATTCCACATCTTACCCTTTATCTCAAAGGGCTATGCACCCAGAGGTGTGCCTGAGATTCAGAGGAGCTAGAGAAGCATACTGAAGAGCCTGAAAGTACTGGAATCACCTGTACTGAGGGCAGTTGCATGGAGAGGAAGAGTATACACACACACAACCTACTTGTTATTCTTGATTACTGAAGAGATAAAGGATGAAGCATGAGAGGCTTGTGACATTAAAGGGAAGGGCATCACCGAGTGGCTGAGAAGACGAACCAGGGTCTAGGAACCAGATCCTCACCTTGCAACTCCTCCACTGCCAGATCTGCAGAGGAAACATAGAGATAGCTCCATAAAGAAAGCAGCCAGCAGACATACCATGGAAAGTGCTCAGCTCATCAGAAGAAATGCAGAAGACAGGTGAGAACAGGGCACACTTCCTTTGACTACCATTCTGCTGTCACCATTGCATTTTACCTGTCTGATGGAAGCTCATTTTCCCACTTCTCACACTGCCTACAGTGGAAGTGACTTTATGGTGGAGGTGTATTTGCCCCTGTGAAAAGCAAGACAAGTCACAAAGAAATCTCTTCACATGGGATCCACTGAGTTACTGTCAAATGTTTACACATAAGCTTGGTCACACACTGGAGCTGACCTGGAATTCACAGTCCAGAAGTTAAATTTTTGTTCCCAACCTCTTGGCAGCTTCCTTCTCACTACTGAAAAGTCAGTACAATTATACTTATGATAAAAATATTCCTTTCCATATGCTTCATACTTTAATAATAACCAATTCTGATAGTAGGGGAACAAAGAGACCAAGGGAAAGGTTACAGAATGTCATAGTAGGTAACTTTCTTGTGCCTCAATTTATTAGTCTTTCGTAAATGAAGGGTAACAATACTTGCTTTCATTTACAAAGCACTTTTACTCTTCTAAAGAGAGAGGCATATTATGTTATCGTATAGAGTGTTAGCACTAAGAGTATTCCATGTTCTATTTCTGGCCTTTTCCCAACAGGCAAAATTCATCAAGCAGTTTATCTGGGACTAAGGAGCGTTCTCAGTATTGCACAAGCCAAGACAGACAAGCCCATCTTGCCTTGGGTAAAGACAAATGGACTAGGAAGTTGTTGACCAGCAGCATCATTCAGACAAGACCTATAAAATAAACCTGGAAGCTGCCAGAGTTACCTTCTTCATCAAGATCTCTCTCAGATGCTGTGGGCTCGAATAAGACTTTCCTGGGCTTCTTGAGGTGGACAGGACTCTCCCTCCAGGCCTCACTGGCTTCCACTTTGCCATATGGTGGCTTCAGTGCACAGGGTACCACCAGGGTCCTCAGTGGTGGGTGAGCATCCTTCCTCCCAGGCCTGGATGCTCTAGCAGTCACCTCTAAGCTCTGATTCTTAACCTGTGATAAAGTGTCCCAGTCAAATCAGCCCTGAAGAAAAAGACCTGAGGCTAATGTGAGTTTTCTGTTCCTGGGTCAGAGATTAGTTTCATGTGGTGACTGTTTTCAGGCTCGTCTTCCCATTGAGTCCTAAGGGGCAGTATGCCAACATACCAGCCACCAAATACATGCTGAGCAATACAGCTACATGCTGCTACATGCCCAGTGGTCTGCTTTCAGACTGCTGGCTGAGATGGGTACAGCTAGCACTAGGCAACTGGAAAGGCTGAAAAGCCATCTGTGCTAGGAGTAACTAGGCTGATAGATCATCTCACCAAGGGCTGTTAAATTCAACCCTTCCAAAGGCATTCCCATGGAGAGTACCACCTTCTTCAGCACAAGTTAGTCTTTGGCTTCAAAACCTGCTTAGCCAGGTCTCCACAAAGAGAGTAGCAACAAATATTTCTGCTAGACATCAACTGAGCAGCTACAAGTGAGGGAGAAGATAGCAAGGAGAGAGTGAAATAACAACACGAAGTCTCCAGGATACACATACTGCAGTAGGATCCTCCAGGTCCTGGCCAAGGGGCATCTCATCTGCTGGAAGCACTGGTGACTGTGTGGTCTCTGGGACAAGGAAAGGGTGGACAGGCGTACTGCTGGAGACACCTCGGAGCAACTGCAGCAGAGACATTGAGAATAAAAGGACACACCAAATGTGCTGGCCTCCATCCACAGCAGGCGAGCAAAAAGATGTCTTGCAAGGAACAGATCTACTGGAAGGGAATAGCCCAGCTTTCATCTCCAGAATAAACAAAGAAAAGCAAAGCCAGGCACTGGGAGATGCTGAATCCAATGGCTTCAGTCAAGGTAAAACAACCACAGACCCAGGAGAGAGTGGAACGGGAAGTGAACTGCTCTCTGCTACCTACATCCTGCAACACGAGGTGTTTTGGCAAAGCTGTGTTTAGGGACTAGGTCTGAAGCACCACAGAGGCTTTAGGTGCAGCACAGATGTGCATTAACGAATCCATGTTTGGTGACTCTGCCTTGGAGTAGCAAAATGAAGGAAAATGAGAGGATGTGAGAAGAACTTCTGTAGCTCAGAAGTGACAATATTTGGGATCCAGGGCAGGAAGAGAGGAGGGTCTCAGTTATTTTACCTGTCCATTGACAGTCAGGAAAAGCTTCACAGAGTTGCCTTTGTCCATCTCTTCCAAGGAGGCCATAAAAATATCCATTCTCCAGTCACCTTCCCACACCAGAGACCTGAACAGGGGACCATGCGCTTTCAGCCAACGAGTGACACTGACCGTAGGAAAACAACTGCTCCTATGCTAGCTGGTAACACCCCAAAGGCAAAAAGAGATCTAGCCCTGAAAGCAGCCAAAAGGAAGCTGAAAGGATCTCCTGAAACACCGTGGTGGAGGACCAGCAGGCCTGAGCAGCTTGGGACACCACCAGCAGAACCAGGCAGCACCACAGAGCAGAACGCTTGTCCAGAGCACCCCTCCTGACACCCCGGCAGCACCAGCTCCCACCATGACCTGCGGGTGGGCTCCAGCGTGCCGACCCTCTGCGGCGCGATGCCTGGGGACACCAGCACATCCACTGCAATGCTCGTGTCCGGGGAGTAACAGCTCCAGTCTCCCAGACCGGCGGCGGGGGCGGCGGCAGGGGCAGCCAAGCCTGGAAACCCATCTTGCTGGACTGGCTGCGAGGGGAGAAAACCAACAGAAAACAGATAATCATCAAGAAGTAAGATGGAAGGTCCAAAAAATATATGAAAAGGCTTGAAAACATGTTTATGCTAGGGGAAAGAGGGTCTCTCATTTAAAGAGGAAACCGCGCAGGGAGGCGGTGAAGAAATAAACTGGCAGCCTGGGAAGGGAGT